GGAATTTTTTCAGCCCACCGATGTACAACACACTGACCTTGTTGCTCCCTCCTGCCAATCCCACAAAAGGAAGGCCTCTAGGTCTCTATGTGGACTCCCACTAATGGTTGTAACAAAAGTCTTGATTTCTACATTGACTGCTTCTGCAAACGTGCTCGAGCTGACATTGTCAACAAACAACAACATATAACATATAACCTCAGCCATGCAGAACACAATGGTATACACTGCATCAAGAATAATCCTAACATCATAATCAAAGAGGCTGACAAAGGAGGCACTGTAGTCATCATGAACAGGACAGATTATGAACAGGAAGCAACCATACAACTCACCAATACCAGATTCTACAAGCCTCTCTCCTGTGATCCCACTAAGGAATACCAACAAACACTGAAAACAATGCTCATGAAGCTCCCTGATGCTACTCAGGAACAAATTTACACTAACATCCCCCTTAATCCCCAACCAGGAGCTTTCTATCTGCTACCCAAGATACACAAATCTGGAAATTCCGAATGACCCATCATCTCAAGCATTGGCACACTTACAACAGGATTATCTGGCTATATCGACTCCTTCCTCAGATCCTATGCTTCCAGCACCAGCAGCTACCTCTGCAACATAACCCGAGGAAACTTCAAAACATCAGTAATCTACCTGAAAATACCATCCTGGCCACTATGGATGTAGAAGTAGAAGCTCTATACACCAACATTCCACATGAAGATGGATTATAGGCCATCAGAAACACCATCCCCGATGACAACACTGTACACTTAGTTACAGAACTCTGTGACTTTGTCCTCACCCACAACTACTTCCAATTTGGAGACAATTTGTATCTCCAAGTCAGCGGCACAGCCATAGGCACCTGCATGTCACCACAATATGCCAACATCTTTATGGCTGACCTTGAATAACGTTTTCTCAGCTCTTGCCCTCTAACATCCCTACTTTACTTACGCTACATCGATGACGTTTTCATCATATGGACCCACGGAAAAGAGACTCTTGAAGAATTCCACAAGGATGTCAACAACTTCCACCCCACCATCAACCTCAGCCTGAACCAGTCCACACGGGAAATCCATTTCCTGGACACTACAGTACAATTAAAAAATTGACAAATCTATACCAGAAACCCACTGACCACTACACTTACCTTTATGCCTCCAGCTCCCATCCCAGACACATTTCTTGATCTATTCTACACATCCAAGCCCTAAGATACAACCAGATTTGCTCTAATCCCACAGACAAACACCTACAAGATCTTTATAGAGAATTCCTAAAACTTAAATACCTATCCGGAGAAGAGAAAAAACAAATTGACAGAGTCAAAAAAGTACCCAGACATGAACTACTCCAAGACAGACCCAAAAGAGAAAATAACAGTATTCCACTTGTCATCACCCACGGTCCACAACTCAAACCTCTGCAACACATTATCCACAATCTCCAACCTATCTTGGAAAAAGATCCCTCACTGTCAGAGGCCTCAGAGGAAAGGCCTGTTTTTGCTAACAGACAACCCGCCAACTTGAAACGTATTCTTTCCAATAACCATGCTACACAGCTACATCATAAACATCCAGGAACCCATCCCTGCAATCAACCACGGTGCCAACTCTGCCCACATATCTATACAAGCGAACTCATTACTGGAGCCAACCACATAAGCCATCAAGTCAGAGGCTCATTCAACTGCACATTCAGTAATTTAATCTATGCCATCAAATGCCAGTAATGCCACACTGCAATATATATTGGACAAACTGGACAGTCCCTTCGTGAAAGAATTAATGGACTCAAGTCAGATATCTGTAAAGGGAACATACAAAAGCCTGTGGGGGCACACTTTAATCTCCCTGGGAATGCATTAACAGATCTTCAAGTGGCTGTTTTGTTACAAACCAATTACAGGAGCCAAATACACAGGGAAGGACTGGCGCTTCAGTTCTTTGGCAAGTTCAATTCTCATACCTCTGGTTTAAACAAAGATACTGGATAGTTAGGTCATTACCTACCTATCAAACAATGAGGGCGACAATGGTTCTTTGTCTTTGAAGAATCTCATGATACCATGCAGATGTTTCATCAGTCTTTCAAGAGTCTTTCATGACTCTTTGTTGTTTGCTAATTAATGGTTCTTATCTGCCCCCTTTGACTATCTAGTCTTTAGGTGCTTATAGACTCGGCTTTCCCTTGATATATTTTTTACCCACTGCCTTTTCTTGTTCCCCCCTCCCAATTTTCCCTTCTTTCACCCCCACTTCTATCTCCCCTATTTATTTTGGACCTAGACATCCAACACTCTGGTCATCTGAAGAAGTGGGCTGTGCCCACGAAAGCTCATGATACCATCTACATGTTTTGTTAGTCTATTAAGTGCTATCAGACAATTTGTTGTTTTTTCAGTTTCTCTGTCATCTGTTAACTTTATAAAGAATGGTGAAAATTACTCCAAGATATTACAGAGATAGGCATTATAGAAATGTCTAATAAGTAATAAACACAAATAAGTAAAAAACACACTTGAGTTTTGATCTAAAATATTATACTGAATGTTTAAGATCTATCCAAAATATTAACAGAAAATATATACGTTTTAAGACAGCCTTTAGATAGTAGAAAGATTATAAGCAGCAAATTGTTTTATCTTTACATGCTTATTAATAGTGATGCTCTCTGGACACCTCTGTCATGTTTAAAATATGATTTCATTAGGACTAGATTGCCAAACAGAATGAGGTAGGCAGGATGTGGTTATAAATCATTGGGCAATCAGTAGGAGCAGCATTAATCATTGGTACAAGTGTAAATAAACAAAACATTGAACAGAAAGTCTTTCACACTACCGAGTCACACATGGGCCTATTGATGTGGGCAAGGATCTACATGACCAGTCACATGATGAGGCGGCATAGAGCTAAGCTAAGTGAAAGGCAATGCACCTTGTATTTTGGTTGTACAGATTAAACCTGCGACTCTCTGGTCTGGCAACATCGGTGGTTTGGCAGGACCATGGATGTTGCAGAACCAGAAAGCTCTGGCTGGGAGAGGAGGCTGGAGCCCAGTGCTGTGGTTGGCTGCGGAGCCCATAGCGCAGAGCCTGGTGGCTGGGGTTGACAGCAGACCAGAGCCTGGACAGTGGCTGGGGCCAGGCCCGGCTTGGGGTGCAGTGAGGATTGGTTGGGTCTGGCAGTCAGGATAGTGGACAGGTCGGGAGCCAGACTGACTGGCAGAGGAGCCAGTTGGGGGTGTGCAGCCTGGAGGGGGGCCCAGCTGCGTGTGCAGATGAGACACAGCTCACATAGCTGGGAGAGCCCAGAGCCCATCAGCAAAAGGGAAAGAATTGACCTCCCTCTGGTCTGGCAAAATCCCTTGTTCAGGACTGGCCAGGCCCTCAGGGTGCCAGACCAGGGAGGTCCAACCTGTAGTGAAATTCCACTGGTCATTACATCCCACGTTGTTGTCATTTGTGATTTCTTGGCCACTTTGAGTGAATAGGAGACTACAGAATACATCACTTTGCAAAACACTTATTAGAAGGTAGCAAAGTAAAAGTTGGAGGCAGGATAGCCAGCATAGTCGACACCACCTCTGGGAGCAATGAGTTTCCATAGTGACTCTGAGATTGCCAAATTCAGGGGGTGATTCTAGAAGAACAGACACTTGGCCAGAATGCCCCTATCCCAGCAAACTTCAGTTTCTGGAATGGTCCCTGTGGACTGTTGGTATCTGGAGACATACCCCCAACATCGGGGAGACACATGAAATTCCCATTTCTTATATATACTTGAATTTGTAAAATTATAAAAGTAAGGCCCCTTTAAGGATCCTATGCCTTAGGGATGCACACTTCTCTTCTTTAAGCAGGGCATGAAAAATTGAGCTTTAGGCAGAGTACTCAGCAGGGTTTGAAAGGATGGAATTTACCTCTGATTCTCAGGCAAGCCGTAGAGCTGCAAAGTGGCTCTAAGGCTCCAGTGGCTATTCCATCTCCTGGCTGGAATTCTGACTACTGTGGTACAAAGTATTAAAGCCAATGCATCCATAAACCACTACTATGCACCAGCCTCTATATGACCAACTGCTACCCAGTTATTCCAGTTATATGGAGCACTTGTCCCATTCGTTACAATTTTGTCCATACACGTAAGATCAAATACTGTGATAATTTATACCCTGGTGCAATTCATTGCTACTGCATTCAATGGGGCATAGGCCACCACAGAATTTGGCCACCAGGATGTAAAGGAACATGATGCAGAATGACAATTCCAAATGTCCACCAGTCCAGTGTCTTCTCTGACAGTAGTCATTGCCAGATGCTTCAGCAGAAGGTGTAAGAACCCTCAAAGCAAGCAGATGCAGGATATTCTGCTTCCACATTAGGACTCATTCTGACCTTGGATAGAGATTGGCTTAAGCACAAGGTTTAATATCCCTTTGAAATATTTTTGTTTTTATAGTAAATCTGGATATTCCTGTTTTCTATGTAAATGTCCGACCTCTTTGTATCCTGCCAAGTTCTTGGCCTCAACAACATCCTGTGGCAATAAGATATCAAACCTTGTGTGAAAAAATATTTCCTTATATTAGTTTTGAAATTACCACTTACTGAAATTCAGTGCCTCTCTGCCCCTCCTCATTGTGTCACGAGACATGGTGGGCAGAAGCTTTTGATCTGTCTTCTCTGTGACAACTTTACAACACTGTTTTGTGGATTACATGCCTTAATATGAAATTCTCAATATAGATATAATTACTCTAATATTGATGTATTATTGTAATACATTATTGCACAAAAGATTCAGTTCTTGGAGGAAAACATTGTGAAGTTGTATGTGGAAAGAACATAATGAAATCCTTTGCTGGTGAGCAACAACAAATATGAAATTTTGTTTTGCCTAGCCAACGTGTGAACTATTAAATGACAGCAAACAAAACAATTAGACAACATTTTGTGTGTGTGAAGAGAAAAATAAATGCCTTGCCTGCACAGCCCAGAGGTAGTCCAGACGTAATTTCAAATCCACCTGCCTGGAATGAAGTGCCAAAGCACAAGAAAACAGCAAGATGGCTAATATAGGTTCATAGCCATGCATATAAAAGGAGCCACCCCTTAAACAAGAAAAGGAGAGCACAAGTTAATATAAATCTTTTAAAGCAAAAAAACTTGGTCTAAATTCTCAAAAGTGACTAATGTTTTGAGGTGCCACATTTGAAACCCACTGAAAGGTTCTGATTGTTAAAGTGCTGAGTATTTATCCTCTGAAAATCAATATCCTTTAAACTTAGGTGCACATAAATAGAGGCATCCAAAACCACTAGCCACTTCTCAAATGCAGATCCTCACACAGAAATACTGTCAGCACACAGGTCGGTATTGCTGTAAGTATGATACCTGTACCATGCCCAAAATAAAGTGTGCCCAACTTCTTCAGGATCTTATCCATCATGAAAATAAATGTAAATAATATGCATCATCTATTAATATGCACCATATGCATATGAGTAGTTTTGTTTAAAAACTGTATTAAAGTGGGACATGCGTCTTTTAAAAAATAGCCAAGCATTTTTGAAGACTGCTATTTCACTGACTTGGGGAGAAGAGAAGATGAGAGGCGCTGGTGGAAAATTAAGGATTTGTGCTTTAGCAAGAAGTTCTTTGTTTTACTCAAGGGGCATCATCTCACTGTGCTCTTAGTATTTCAGCATTTCAATTACACAGAAGGGCTTCATTCACTAGTCTGTTAACACCATTTTTGTACCTGTGTTACTCCAATGAAATCAACCAGCGCAAAACTGGGGTAATGCAATGGGGAATCAGGCCATAGCTGTTAGTTCACAAAAACAGACGTCCCTTTCATGAGTATTATCATGATAGCTAGCTCCTGCAAGGTACTGAGTGTTGAGCACCTCTTATGGGGATGCTGAGAGCCCTCAGTATGTGACCCTAATACAGTATTCCAATATCTTGGGACAAGAGTAGTAAAGCAGAGTTGACAACGTTTTAGACCATACATAATGCTACTACTTTCCTTAACTTTACAGTGTACTTACCCTACTGCTTTTCTGTATCCACTGAGTTCCAGAACAGCTATGTACAAAATAGTAACAAAAAGCAGGAGGATCATTTTTGGCAAGGAAGAGACACGTAGAAATATTGCCAATGTAAGAGTCCCCACCACACAGGAGAGGAAAGCATAATGGGCTGTATCACATGGAAGTTCATTCATGGTTTTATTCATTCCACCAGGAGAAATGATAACTATGGAACTGCTGGAATTCGTGTTCCATACCCAAGGCATGCAGCCAACCTGGGAAAAACAATAGGGTTTAAAATGAAACACTTCAGTAGAAATATTGCCAATGTAAGAGTCCCCACCACACAGGAGAGGAAAGCATAATGGGCTGTATCACATGGAAGTTCATTCATGGTTTTATTCATTCCACCAGGAGAAATGATAACTATGGAACTGCTGGAATTCGTGTTCCATACCCAAGGCATGCAGCCAACCTGGGAAAAACAATAGGGTTTAAAATGAAACACTTCA